GCTCTTTCTTCCCTGCCTGGGGCTGCTGGGACCTGCCCTGGTGCCCCCCCGGGTGCCCCCCTGACCACTGTGCCCCCCGTGGTGCCAGGCTGCTCGGCTGAAAACCATCCTGGAGCAGAGGGACAAGCTGATCAAGGAAGGGAAGTACACACCACCCGAATACCACAAGGGCAAGGAGGAGCCACGGCCTTGATCCCTGGTCACCGGGCTGGGAGGAAAACCCACGGCACAACTGGGTGACACTGGTGGGGAGGGGCCTGCGTGGAGGCCCCGCCCCTGCTGAAGGGGAGTGACACCACATCAGGCACCACTTGGGGTAGTAAATGGCTCCTTCAGAGCAGCCTGTGGTTCTGTCTTCTCTTTTCTTCTTGGAGTGAAGCCTGAGGGGCTCTCTGTGATGGTGCTGCTGGGGGAGTGTTTCAGACACCCCCCAAATCGTTGCAGTGCTGCTGGGAACGTGTCCTTGAGGAGGTCAAATGCTCCTGGAGTTGGTGCCATGGGCTGTTCTGAGGTCTCACTTCAGGCTCACATCCCTCCCATGGGCAGGGCTCCCAGGCAGCAATTCCACCTGGAAAGGAGAGGAATAACCTGAAAGGAGGAGGACATGGAGCTGTTGGAGTGAGTCCAGAGGCCTTGAAGATGGTCTGAAGGCAGGAGCAGCTCTGCTGAGAGAGCTGGGGGTGTTCAGCCTGCAGAAGAGCAGGCTCCAGGGAGACCTTAGAGCAGCTTCCAGTACCTGAAGGGGCTCCAGGAAAGCTGGGGAGGGACTTGGGACAAGGGCAGGGAGGGAGAGGACAAGGGGGGATGGATGAAAACTGGAAGAGGGGAGATGGAGGTTGGACATGAGGAGGAAATTCTTGAGTGTGAGGGTGGTGAGAGCCTGGCCCAGGTTGCCCAGGGAAGCTGTGGCTGCCCCATCCCTGGCAGGGTTGAAGGGCAGGTTGGATGGGGCTTGGAGCAGCCTGGACTGGTGGGAGGTGTCCCTGCCCATGCAGGGGGTTGGATCTAGATGAGCTTTAAGGTCCCTTCCAACCCAAAACAGTCTGAGATTCTGTGATTCTAAGAGTCAGAAATCCCAACCACTTCAGCCTTGTCCTCCACAACTTCACCTGAATTCCCAGTTGGCCCCTGGGCTGTGCTGGGATCTCCCCAGTCACTCTCTGGAGCTGAGGTTAAACCAACTCCCTCCCACCCGGATTCAGGGCTGGATTTGGATTCTCTCCCATGTCCACATCTCCTCCCTGGGGGCTTTGCTGCCAAACCCTGGGTGTCAGCAGGATCTATTCAGCTCCAGCAGCTCCAGTTGGTCCCTGTGTCCTGGCAGGGACACCCACTGCTCCTCACTTCCCAAGCTGGGGGGGGCTAGGGGGGGTTTATTTTTCCCCCCAAATCCCACCCTGCAGCAGGTGAGCACCTGTCAGTGGCCGGGAGCCAGGGCTGGGATTAATCCATGTTTTTCATGCCAGTGATTGTAGCTTTAATCCTTAATCCTTGGTGCTGGTGGAGCCCGTGAGCTCCTGATCCCAGAGCTGGGATGAGGGACCCTGGGCTGGGCAGAGGCAGATGGTGCCCCCCACTCCTGCTCCCCATGGAGGTCCCTGACTCCAAAGCCCTTTTCCATGGATCAGGATGTTCTCCTGTGTTTGCTTCTGGCTGAGTTTCTCCCTGGAGGGCCCAGCAGCCCCAGCAGAGCTCCCCTCTGTCCAAACACCTCAGGAATGATTAACCAGGTCGGGGGGAGAGGAGCTGGATGGTGTGTGTGTGCCTGGGATCTGGGGGGTTGGAAGCAAAACCCACAGCTGGTGTGGGCTGTAATGGGAGCAAAGCTTCCAGTTCTCCCCATGGGAACCCCTCCCCTGCCCCCAGAGTGGGAACTGCTGCCACTGGCAGCTCCCTGGGGGGACACAGACCCCTCAGTGGGCACAGGGATCCCTCCTCAGGGTGGGAGCAGAGCCCTGACTCCAGGCACAGACCCTGGGAGAGCTGTGTCCTTGGACACCAGGGGCCAGCCTGGGGGCTGTGAATTTTGGGATGTTCTCCCTGTCCTGGTGCCATCCCAGGGCAGGGACCTGAGCCAGGAGTGTTGTTGTTTCCCT